TTTCCGAGTGCTTTCGGTTGTACATTTAGCTATTTTCATGGATGAAATATATTTACTATTAACTGGAAATGGATTGTTGTATGTATGTATTCTAGAAAGTTTTATTTTCAAAACACAATCAATATATTATGCCCATGTTCATAGTTGATATTATTGAGGTTTCTTTTTGTTTGTATTAATATGGCATCCATTATTTTTAGCCTTGCTTTACATGAAGACGATGCTATTATATTTGTATTGTCAACAAGTATGTTAAGAATATGGTCCGGTAGGCCCCCATGAGTATCTAAATGAGACATAATTGAGCTATGGTCAGAAAAACGTAGCGTGCGTCTTCTTGTTAAACATACTATGGTGTGTCCAATGTAGCTGTTTACGAATTTTGATTGACCAGGAATACAATTCTCTAATTGGCATTTAAATTCGTAAATAATATTTGTTCTATTATATATATATATATATATATATATATATATATATATATATATATATATATATATATCGAACTAGAGATATTTGGTATTTGAGCTTTGTTTATCCGATTCGATAATGACTGGAAAAAGGTAAACGGATAAGATTCCCGTCGCGATACACATTGTTCCTTATTAGGACTTCTTAGTCTAGGCAGGTTGATATTTATTTTACTATTTAAGAAAATACAAAATTCCTGGAGAACAACTCGAAAATTTGTACCCAGAAAAATAACGGGAAGTATGTCGAATATGAGAATATAACTAACCATTACTACATGCAAATATCTACATAGTGGTCTGGTTTAAGATTTGAATGGATTGATTTTCTATTTGTTTAATTTCTGATAGATAACTGGTGAAGTCTTAAGAATGCTCCAATAACTGTTGTTTTTTCTCCAATTTCAGTAGATAAAGGCGTTGGTTAGATCCAGTGACAAGACCCAACGAGTGTGAGTTCAATACCCAGTTAAGGCAGTGGAGAACTTTTAGAAAGAAATTAACAGGTGATAACTAATAACTGACATCCATTAAACATACCACGTGGAATTAGAACAGTCTACCTCAGTGATCGAAATAAAGGGTTGTTCGACATTCCAAAAAACTGAAGAAGGCCGGAGCGTACAACGGCCGAAATGTTGTAATAAATATAGCGACAAAGATGAGGACCATATTCCGAATAATTTAAATAATGTCTAATTTCTTTATTGATAAAAACAAGGAGGATAAAATCACTGCAATATCTAGATCCCTATTATTAGATTATAGAGGGAGAATTAAGAAAGATTTAATGAACAGTAATTTCAGGATTAGTAAAAACTAATGGAGTGAGCACTCAAAATATAGACATTAATGAGGATTTTATGTGATTAAGTCTTTTAATTCTTTGCTTCCTGGTTTGCTTATTGTTTTGTCTATCAAACCTCAAATGGAAAGCTCATTTTCCATATTGAGGTTATCAAAAACCTTCTTGAAGATATGTTCAAAGCGTTCGCTGATGAGAGTAAGTAATCTGATGAACAGATATTACTATGGTGATGGGCGCTTATCTGCAATCATGTAAAACAAGGCATACACTTTTTAACTTGAATATCTCAGATGTAAGTTTTCTCCCCAAAACACTATTTTTAAATGAATCTAAACTTTTTGAATTTTAGTTGTGATGATTATGTTTTTTTCATAACAATTTCAAAATTATTTAAAATATTTTTTCTTATTTTTTATTAATTTCTTCGTTTGTTATGGGCGTTTTATGAAAAACTTTTAATTTATTCTTTAGGAAGCTTCGTGATGTGTATTGAAATGTATGATTCGAATAGTTATAATTAAATTCAAAGACAAAATAGATAGAATAATATATTTGTGATTAAAAACATCCAGAAAATGTATATATTTTCAGATGATGATCTTCACTTTCGTTGTTTTTATCAAAATGTTTTGACATATACTTCCTTCAACCTGATTTGGTTTAATTTCTGATGAGATATATTTTGTTTTCTTACATTTTATATACTTGTACTTCAAAATACATAAAATGGTTCGGAGGTGAAACGGAGAAGCCATATAAAGGAGATGAAAGCCGCTGGATAATAAATAATAATAAAAAAAACCTCAGCGTGGTAAACGGAAATGGGAATAATTGATTAAAGGATTCACTCTAAAGTGATGAGGTTAAAGAGTGCTATGTCACACACGAGAAAAGTACAAACTGAAGCGTTGTTAGTTTAGCAACCAAGGTAAGAACACTGGTTCGCATGTTAAGGCATACGTTTTTGAAAGAAGTGTATTTTAGTCCAGAAAATAATACAAATTAGGAATCTATCGTTATTGATAGACACTACATTATTATATGACAACAGGGCCAAGGGAATGGAAATAAAAAAAAATTTAAGAGAGGACTGTCTGCATGATTTGAAAATCAACTTTCGGTATTATAGATTTTAATCAGGATCGAGTATGATTTAGGGTGCAAGTGATTGCATATATATATATATATATATATATATATATATATATATATATATATATATATATATATATATATAACCCTAACCCTAACCCTGCCGAGAAATGCCTTAAATCGACGTTTGAAGGTTCAACTTTGGGTTTCCGGTTAGCGTTAAGAGGGTATCGAATAAAAAGGCCATTTAAATTTGTCATTTTAGGTAGTCATTTTTTTAGCTTATCCGACGCAGTATGAGTTGTAGAATTGAATAAAACCATTCCCAGTGGGCTAGCGGCAAGAGAAATGCCTTAAATCGACGTTTGAAGGTTTAGTATGTATGTTTGTGTGCGTGTGTGTGTTTGTGTCTATGTGTGTGTGTATAAAAGGAAAACTTATTTTAGCCATCCCGACGAGTTATATACTTTGAGTGACTTATCAAGGTAAACGCAAGGATTTTATTTGCATTTGCCGTGAAAAAGTGTCTCAGAGGACGATACATATCGGCTAAGATAGGTTTTCCTTTTGCCTTTATTGATATTATCATTTTAGAAATATACTCTATGTGAAATTTTGACACAAACACACACACACACATACACACACACACATACACACACACACATATATATATATTTACAAATATATATATATATGTACAAATATATATATATATATATATATATATATGTATGTATAGAGAGAGAGAGAGAGAGAGAGTTAAGATAGGATGAACAGAGTACAATTCCAACGTTCGAAACATTTTATTTAAAAGAGGGCTCAATACAAACTAGAGAAACATTCTTTATTTTAGGATATTACATCGAATTGCCCGATGTGATGCTTTGATACGCATATATATATATATATATATGTATATATATATATATATCAGTAAAATTATCTTGAAAAGTACTACAGAAGAGTGGACACATCCGAATTGTGATGTAGTATTTAGTATCGCATGTTAAGCAAAGTTTGCTTAACTCGCTGCTCTCATCGCTAGCTTCGTAACGGAAGTATATTGAAAGTGTCAGAATATAAAAGTATCCAGGTAAGCAAATTCTGCTTTCCCTGTGATATTTCGAGAATTAAGATGCCAAGATTTCTGGCACCATTTTCTTTTCTTTCTTTTTATCATTCTTAAATCATTTCCCAGAATCTGCCGCACTGATTTCCCAATTCAATCTCCGTTCTTCATTTATAGCAAAGCAATTTTTTTCATTCTGCCCAAATTTCCATCTATTTCATTCGTTTTTGTTTGTTCACCTCTTGCGTCTTTATACACAATTCCTCACCCACCAATAAATCGTCTGTGTCACTCAACAACACGCTATTTCAACATGACATGTTCAACATATGCCATAATGCTTTTACACATATGGCTATTAATTTTCTGCTCCAGATTCCTTTCACACGTTTTCGGTATAACATGAAGACGCACACTATTTTCTACTGTTCGGTGACGTACAAATCATTAAGTTTGCATCTCAAGAAAGCGGAACTTTGTACATATCTGGATGTGTACCGTGCGTTTGTTTGCCTGACAATATAGCGATAACTAATTAATTTCAAACGTTAGTGGATACTCGTATTTGAATCTACGCATCTGTTATTTAGTCTACCGGCCTGTACACTCGAGAAAACTTATTAATATGTCCTTCAGCAGGATTTGCTTTGTAGGAGAGACCACCGATTTATTCGGAGTGCTTTGAACACTTAACTACGAAGATCTTCACAAGTTCTAATTGCCTTTAAAGGACATTTAGTCGTTCAGATTTCATCGAATGTATATCTACACAGTTTTGTATCGGAAACGTAAAAAAAGCAATTGATAAAATAATTAATGGATTTAAAAATAATGAATCCATATTTATTACGTGCATTGTTTACATTTTTCGGACTGTTATCCTCATCTTCATTGACATGTTTACAACGTTTTGGCCATTGTACGCTCTGGCGTTCTTCAGGTGATTGAAATTTCGAACCGAACCTTTTATTTCGCCCATCGGTGTAGAATCTCCTAGTTTCACTTGTCATGCATCTTTCGAATGTATCGGTTATTTCCCTTTAACTCAATTCTCCAATTCGTTTGTTTCACCACTGCTGTGGCCTAGAACCCACAGCTCTTTGGATCTAGTCACTGGATCTAACCAACGCCTTTAACCACTGGACCATGTGCTCTAAAGAAGGCCGGAAACGTTGTGAATAGGGCAATGAAAATAAGTATAACAGTTTAAATAATGTAAATAATGTAAGTAATCATAATACCTCATCTCAGAGATATAAGGAGATATACATATTTTTTTTACTTCAAATGTCCCTTTTTAGCTTTTGAACTCATAAGAATATGTGGGATTTAAAAAAAACGTTAATCCCTTCGAAAATGTACATTTTTTTATATATGTATGTATTCGCCACAATCTGAAAACATGTTGTATATGACAATTTTGACTGCTTGAAAAAGAATTAAAAGAAACAGGTTTTTATTTTCTGAAATGGATTTGTTTTTATTCTCGGAGTAGAACAATGCAGAAGTGACATCAATGTTATTGATAGAAAATAAGGAATCGTAATTTTCTTTAATATTAAAAAAGAGAGATAAACATATGTTGCATGTTAATGAAATCATGTTCGAAAATGTGCAGTTGGCCCGAATGAGAGAGAGAGAGAGAGAGAGAGAGAGAGAGAGAAAGAGAGAGAGAGATTTCAACCCGTTTTCGCCTGCCTATGCTAACTCGCTCTAACCGCTGTCTGACCCTCACCAAAAATAGAAGAATGATTTCATGCTCCATTATCGTATTGAGTCCTTAACAGATATCGATTCCACGACTATTACATTATTAAATGTTAAACTTTTTGCAGACAATAAATTGCTCCATTCTTGTGACATTAGTAGTTTCAAGAAGTTGAAATTGAGAGGCTGTTGTTAACTGGGGCAAGAAATGTCTTGTTGATTTTAATGTATACAAAACGACACTGCTCTCTTTTAACCGTCTTAGATATCTCTGGCTTCTATCAGTATGGCTAATGCTAACTTCTAGAAAAATGTGTCATTACTCCTTGTCGAACCAACGTTTTACACTGACATGAAGTGAAATGCTTATATTTACAAGGCCTGCTGCTAGGAAAACTGGTTGACTGTGTCGTGACAGACAATTTTTTTCTCCCAAGAATCTAAATTACAGATTGATAAATCTGTTATTAAGTATTGCTGTTACATTTCGAGATTCTTGAAAAAATCCAAAGAAGGATCTTTAATGTTATCAACATTTCAACATCAGTTATTTTCCCACTGTCGTGATGTAGCATCCATATGTATTTTCTATGATTATTTTAATGGTGATTGTTCTGATGAGAATTCCTATTTGTACCTCGACTTTACGAATTTAAACGCAGTACTAGATGGGCAGTTAGGTCGCATTGAAATGACTAGATTTAACTATAATTTCTATGCTAATAGTTTCTTTTCCCTGACTTCTACCTTCTGGAAATCTCTTCCGGCTTCTTACTTTCCAGTCAATCGTTATCTTCTGTCTTCATAGTTCCCCTCCTTTTATTGTTCTCTCCCCTTAATATTTTTCTTGTGTACGAATATTAAAGGAAATTACGATCCCTGTTTTCTCTCAACATCATTCAATGTCAATTCTGCATTATTACACTCCGGGAATAAAAACGAACCCATTACAGAAAAAAAAAAATGTTTCTTCTAATTCATTTGGAAAATGTTCTCCGATGGTAGCGAATTGTAAATCATTGCCTTAATGTATATACAGATCGACATAAATACATATTTTCTAAAGTATTAATGGATTTTAAAAAAATAATCCGACATATTTTCATCACTTAAAACGCTAAAAAACCACGGGTATTATCTGTGGAGTTCCACAATATCTGGGGTGAGCTTACGTTCAAATAGGCGTTCAAGTTAAATGCTTGTTTGAGGGGAAAATCCTTCATCAATATGTAGGAAATTCAGGACATTCTCGGTAATGATGAAAATGTTAGTGGTTGGGTTATTGATGTATTGAATATTACGAATCATTTGTTATTTTAGGATTGATCCTTTAGAGCTAGGTCAGATTAGAGATCAGCTGTCAGTCTCTAGCCATCTAGATTTTTGGAGATGCACCTATACACCGTTGTGTCATCTGCATATATATTCACTAAATTCGGAATATTCTCTTAGGCAAATCATTAATATAAATCAGAAAGTGTGTAAAACCAGAAAGTGAGTCTTTAGAAATGCCTTCCTTGCTCTCAGGAGACTCAGACAATTGGCCATTAACAATTAACTTTATTATTTGATAATTGAATAATTCCAGTGATTACATAGCTGAAGTGCATATGTAGCAACCCCTATGTCACAATTTGTCAAAAGTCTTTCATATGTCTAAAGCGATAGTTATTTTGGTGTATTTATTGCATTATACCCCATTGATGTGTGGGTAATTATAGTTAGAATATCAGGAGTGAATCAAGCAGAGTGAAAACTATATTGTTCTCTCTCATGAGGTGGTCCATATTGAGAATATTCAAAAACCTTAATAAAGCCTCAACGTGTTTGCTGATGACAGTAAGGAGGCTGATGGTCCGATATTGCTAAGGAGATGAGCGCTCACCCGCTCTCTTAAAAACAAAGCATACACTTGACTCTTTCTATAGACTTAGTAAGGATTTCTCCTACAGGCAGCGATAAAACTATTTTACCAAGATCAAAGATAACTCTGGGATAATATTCTAAAACAAAACACCAGGATTTGATCTAGACCAGTAGCTTTTTTAGAGTCAAAGAAACATTCACCATGAAGCCTCGCAAGAATACAGAATACACGTTTGGAGAAAGCTCTAAATTCACACACCGATTAAGTGACGGTGATTGACGAAGTTTGCAGTTTGATAAACCGTAATGTTAGATACGTAATTCAGTTTGATGTTCTCATCAGTAATGTACGACAATCACGCCATATAGTATACATACCAATATGGATACTTGTGAGTGTTGGCAAATATATTCATAGAATGTGACGGAACTGTCGAAGAAGAGAAAACGAATATTAAAGGCACATTGAAAAATCTGAAAAAAAATGATCGTCGCATTCTTCTGGCAGAGACTAATTAAGATATCAACGTAGCGTATCTGAGGGAGAGAGTGAGTAAGAGAGAGAGAGATAGAGAGAGTGAGTAAGAGAGAGATAGAGAGAGAGTGAGTAAGAGAGAGATAGAGAGAGAGTGAGTAAGAGAGAGATAGAGAGAGAGAGTGAGTAAGAGAGAGAGAGTGAGTGAGTAAGAGAGAGAGAGTGAGTAAGAGAGTGAGTAAGAGAGAGAGAGAGTGAGAGAAATAGAGAGAGAGAGAGTGAGTAAGAGAGAGAGAGAGTAAGAGAGAGATAGAGAGAGAGTGAGTAAGAGAGAGAGATAGAGAGAGAGAGTGAGTAAGAGAGATAGAGAGAGTGAGTGAGTAAGAGAGAAATAGAGAGAGTGAGTGAGTAAGAGAGAGAGAGAGAATGGATGAGTGTGAGGGAGAATCTTGCCGAGGATTAAAAATACGAACCCCTTGAGAATTAAGTTAACACTTCTGATGGTTGCAAAAAATTAAATAAAATAAAGATGAATGGAGCAGACAACATCTTTTTCCTTTTTCATATTGTCTGTTTTAAATATATACGTTCTGTTGGTGAGAAGCCTAGATAAGTTAATATGCATGTCATATGCATTCTTTCATACATACATAGAATGAATATATATATATATATATATATATATATATATATATATATCTACTAATTGATCTATTTACACACACACACGTATATGTGTGCATGTGTGCGTCTGAGTACGTTTATGTGGGAAAGTATATATATATATATATATATATATATATATATATATATATATATATATGTGTGTGTGTGTGTGTGTGTGTGTGTGTGTGTGTGTGTGTGTGTGTGTGTGTGCAAATATGTAGAAAAATAGGAAAGAAACACGTTAGGTACATAATCCGGAGTTCTTTAGTATTTTGTTTTTAATTTTTTTAAAAAAAAAACAGTGCTCCATACAGAAGTAGAGCTTATAATTCTTTTTTTAATAAAATTACTTAATTATGATATATCTAAAGTATCAAGCCCTGTTTTATGCTCAAGCGAAAATTTAGGAAATTAAGATTCCTAAATATTCGCTTGAGGATGAAACAGGGCTTGATACTTTAATTCAATTTAATTTTAATAAACATATTGGAGTTTCCGGCTCCCGTTTTTGAAACATGAGAACTCTTATGTAGCGAAAGAATCATATTTTTTTTATAAAATGATTATATTCTGTTACGCCCGGGGTTTCGTTGGGACTACGATAGCCGGGACGCAACGAGAAAATAAAAAAAAAATAAGTAAGAGATCCCAAGTTTCGATATAAAAATAAAGAAAAGAACGTTGGGAGGGGAATTCTCCAATTCCGGACGTCGGTAAACACAGACAGAAAATGAACAATTCGCAGACACAGAACAACAGAAGACAACACGAGAATATACAATACAAAGATTTTATTTCTAGAATACACGGAGTGTGAATGTAAGAAAAAGAAAAAGAAAACTAAATAATACAAGGGATGGGGAGATAAGTTACTAATTAAACAAATATTAATGCGTCGAAATACATACAAATACAGAAATAGAAGATTATAAGATATGGAAAAACATGCAGAAACTTACATAAGGTTGGAATCGACGTCGATTGACTATTATCGAGGTACAGTTTGTTCAAAGGATATTCATACACTTCTTTGAAAGTAACGGGTGGGATTGACAATGTTCTAACATGAATTCTTGACTGGGGACGTCCGATCCGTGTTGATGGCGAGGAGAACACACAGAAAAATCACGGGAATATAGCTAACTTGGGTTGACGATGTTGATCTAGATTCTTGCGTCGGTCCTTTCGTTTTTGGTGGCATCTAATTCTTCTGGCATCAAAGAACGTAGTCTGGTTCTGGTGACAACTGCTTCTTCTAATGGCAAATAGCTAAGACTGGTTTTTGGTGACGTCCGACTCCTCCGATAGCCAGCAACTATGTGTGGTTGTTGTTACCTCAACACGTGCGAAACGAAAACTGCTATCTGTTGAGTCACGTGTTACCCCCCCACAAAAAAAAAGGTATGCGTGATTCACGGACCCTGTTAATGTCATCCACACTTATCTGTCAAACAGCGTTCGTTTCGGCCAGCGACTATGGAACTGGCTAACATCATTCACACCTATATGTCAAACAGCGTTTTTTTGGCTTATGTATCAGGGACCAGGTAGGAAATGGGGTTAGAAGGGAAGTTTTTTTTCCGAGAACTGGCCCTGATTCATCTGGTTATAAAAACAATATATATCTCACAATCTGCATATTCAAGAAATAAAGAAGTTAAGATTCATACGTTTCGTCGCAAATACAAAAGGTACTGAAAATATACTTATAAAATCTGAGGTGAGGGTACAAATATGGGGTTAACGTAATAATAATAATAATATATATATATATATATATATATATATATATATATATATATATCGTAATTAAGTAATTCATCGAGTCTAGAAGAAACCGGCTTCTAATGTTCTGGGGTGAGCTGCTTGGGGATAGTAATCGTAGCTCGGGGGGAGGCATATTCCTATGGGTCAAAGAGAAATTCGGAGAAGTTCCACCACGGAATTTGTGATCGAGCGGCGCTATATTGTCTAATTCGTCACCGAGAAACGTTGGTGCCGTTGATATGACGTTTGCCGCCTATCGTAATTGTTCAGATTTCAATTCTCGGTAGTGTGTGCCCGCTCCTGATGAGGCTCAAATATAGGACGAAACGGTCGTCCAGTACCTTCTGCATTCGTTTAAGGTTTCTTCTAGACTCGATGAATTACTTAATTATGATTATTTCAAATCCTTCTAATCATTTCTCTCTATATATATTATATTTTTATTATAAAAACATTTTAAAATCGATGCACAAAAGCTTTCATGTTGCAATACTATGATTGTATTTCTTCAGGCGATGCTAATAGCTGGTAATTAAAATAATTTTTAAGGAAATTTAAAAATAATGTGTGACATCATTTCCGAAATTTAAAGGTGGACATAAGGTCAGAATTAAAAATAGACCTGTGGGTGTGTCTTTATTAACCAATTAAATGTCATATCTATGCTAAATAGGAAAGTAAGCTAAAAGAGTGGGGGTAGATGAGTTACTTTTTTCATGTCACGATAAACCGGGACATAGTCCATTTTCGATGATTGCAGAAAATATTCCAGCGACAAATATATCGCGATAGTAGACAAATATAACATGTTCAAGTTTTTAAATAGCGAAGAAAGGGAGGGGTGGGTGAATCAGATGTAAAGTTAACAGAAAAAAAATTTTAAATTATATTCAGGAAGCTTCTTAAAGGGGCCTTTCCATAAAATTAAAAAAAAAATATATCAGGAGTACCAAGAATTCCTTTAAAACTAGGTAGTACCAGCATATCTTTCTACAATACCGTGTACAGAAATAGGTGGTCCATTTCTAAATATTTGTGGAACTTAAAAGAAGTTAATAAAACCTCTACGGTAAAATGGAAAATTAAAATTAAAATAGAATTTGTAAATCTTTAAATAAACCGTGTTTCTTATGTTTACATGAAAAATTACAAATAATCAAATCAAAGGAGCTAATTAACTGTCAATTGCCAACACAGTTTATCTTCTACCTTAAAATATAGTTATTTTTTTAAAATTACATATTACCATTTCTTATAGGTATAATTTATTAGTAAATAAATCTACGAGTAATTTACCTTATTTTGTTTATTCAGTTTACATATTGCTATGTATTGCCGTAAAGCTAGATTTATTAATATCTCATATAGATGTTCCACATTTTTCAATTTTATCTATAGGCCCTTTGAAGAAGCTTCCTGAATATAATATTTTTTATAAAAGTAACCTGTTTTTGTAAGGTATTCTGTATAGTGGATGTTATAGAGTTGATATGTAGTTTTATGTATCAGTTTTTGTTTAATTTATTATTGTGGATAATGTTGTTATTTTATGTTGCGGTAGTGTATTTTTTGTCTCTTTACGGTTATAGATGAAGTGATAAGGATATTGAAGGATTTGAATGTGTTTCTATGTGTGTCTCTTTTTTGGTTACTTATTGGGTTCTGCAACAAAAATACACGACCGCAACAGAAATAACAAATATATCCATGTGAAATTGTCTAACAATCATGACTGGGTTCTCCTGTATGTATGCCATTGTACAAAGTCCTGTTGCCAGAAACAGACTCTTCCAGGAGCCACACACTTGATCCATGCGCGAAATAGAAAATATAACCCATCAAACTATATATATATATATATATATATATATATATATATATATATAGTTTAAAGGAGGATGATATCCGTAGAGCTCAATGTAAATTCAGAGCAAATATGTTTGAATTAAAAACAGACCACTTTAAGGTTCCATTCACCACAGCCCTTTTAAAGGGCTCTGGATCATCAGACTTTTTGGAAGTAAAGTCTGATGATCCAGAGCCGTTGAAAAGGGCCGTGGTGAAATAATTTATTACATGGAACCTTAAAGTGGTCTGTTTTTTATTCAAGCATTTTATTCAAACAAATATATATATATTACGTTTTTACGGCAGTTGGGTTGGCTTTTAGTAGGATAATTATTTAATGTTTTGATTGTGTGCGTGCTTAATATAATATTATTATGTTGGGATATATAAATATTGATGTTTTTTATACACCTATAGCTTACCGTAACATTGAGAACTTCGCAAAAGAACTGATTGTTAAGCTCTGGAAAGAAGGTAAAAGTTACAGGTAAATATCAGACAACCTGAATATTCTATTTACTACCATTAGTTCATTTATTGCAAGGTGTAAAAAGAAACATCTCGAAAGAACAGTTGTTTCAAGGAAGATTTCTTCAAAATCTTCGATAAAATTAATGCGTCACATTAAACAAAATCAAATGGTAACTGGCCAAGAATTGCAGGCTGATTTGCATTCATCAGAAATGTGTGTCACTAAACTGACAATAAGCAAAGAAATTCATAGGGACAATTTAAAGCAAAGCTCCCCTCGGAAAACGCCATTGTTACTGAAAAGACACCGAAATGCCAAGTTGAAGTTCGTTTATGAACAAATGCTTGAGAAAAATCGTATTGGGAAAGAGAATTATTGACAGACGAATTCAAAATTGAGTGGCTTGGATGGAATTCTAGAAATCGTGTATGGAGGATTCATTCAAACAAATGAACACAGTTCCAACAGTGATAATTGGTGGTGGCAGCATCGATGTTTGGAGTTGTTTTTTCTGCAAAATGTACTGGCATCATATCAGTAATAGATTGGAGAATGAATACTGGAGCATATCAAAATATTTTGGAAGCAAATTTAATGATCTCGTTTGAAAATCTTGAACTTCCTCCGGAGTGGATATGTCAACTTGATAATGATCCTAAGGGCACTGAAAAATCTGCGATGAAGTGGCTTGTTGAAGGCAATGTAAATATCCTGAAATTTCCAAGTCAGTCACATTAGAGAATAGATTGTGTTACTTGAAACTTAAAATTCAATCAAAAACTCCAACTAGCATCCCGGATCTGATGGCCATATGCGAAGAATGCAAAAAATAGCAAGTAAAATTTGCAAATCGTTGAGAACTACAAGAAGAAACTGCTTACTTAAGAAATGAATAAAGTCTTAAATAAAGATAATGTATTCTTTTTTTGCATTGTACGAATACTTTTTTCATCTATTAAAAAGGATAAATGCGAAATATTTCTGTTAAAACATATCTACTGTTTTCCATGCATATTTAGTTATTATGCCTCCTGGTATGGAAAGTAAGTTTATACATGAGTAGGAAGTCAAATAAATTAAAATTTGTATGTGTACGAATAATTGTTTCCTCCGACATATATATACTAACATCCATGCATGTATATATTCATTCGTATATATATATATATATATATATATATATATATATATATATATATATATATATGTGTGTGTGTGTGCGTGTGTGTGTGTGTATATATATTCATATGTATATATAAATATTCATATATATATATATATATATATATATATATATATATATATATAAATATATATATATATATATCATTTGAATATATATGAATACATATGAATATATATAAATATGTTCATATATATATATTCATATATATATATATATATATATATATATATATATATATATATATATATATATATATATATGAATGTATATATATAATATGTATTCATATATATAAATGAATATATATATATATATATATATATATATATATATATATATATATATATATATATATATATATGAATGTATATATATAAATGAATATGTATATATGAACACCTTTCTATATATTCATATGTATTCATATATATCTAAATGAATATATATATATATATATATATATATATATATATATATATATATATATGAAGAAATATAGTATTAAGATATATTTATGGGATAAAGTGCTCAATATAAGAGATAGAGCGTGTGTAAATATAAAAGTGAGCATAGAAGTCAACACTTAGAGACGACAGTCTGTTTCATGCTAGTTGCAATCGTCAGGCCACGAGCATGAAACAGACTGTCGCCTCTAAGTGTTGACGTTCACAACTTTTGGGGTGTAGTCACTGGATCTCAAAAAAAAAAAAGCCTTTCTCCACTGGGCCATTTTGAAGAGTCATGGTGCGAGGAACTATAATAATCTACCTGGTGGACGAAACAAAGAGTTCGTTTCGAAATTCCTGATTACCTAAACATTGTGAATAAGGCAATCAAGAATAGGCTAATTTTCCGAGTAATGTAATTAATGTAAATAATCATAATGCTTCATATCAGATATATATATATATATATATATATATATATATATATATATATATATATATATATATATATATATATATTAGTTTTCATTCTACTGTTGGTGTTTTATACGATTCTCTTAATTGCGTAAAATATTTTGATAGTTATGTTTGATTACGATGTTCAATGTTATTGGAAGATTTCAATGCCGTCACCATCGAAGTTTAAAATCATTCATTTTACATCCTACATAAAATTTCTCAACAAGAATATTATGTTGTTCTTTTCTGCATACATGAAAATTATATATTATTAAATTTCTGAAAAATAAAAATTTATTAAAGCAAAGAAATGAAATAGAAATTTTCTGTGGACATTGTATTATATACACCTTAAAAAGTAATTAATTATATAATAAATAAGAAAAATATAAAAAATAATTAACATTTTTATATCTATTGTTTGATCATAAATGAAATAATTTATTCATGCGTAATTATATCCTAGTATATCAATTTTACAGTACCATATATAGTCTATTATTAAAATAAATATAGTATTTTAGAGTAAATAATATAAAAAATCTGACTTAATTACATTTGAATATCCCTTTAAGAAAATCTCGATATAGATTTGAAAAAAAAATAGAAATGCCAAATATTTTGTAACGTAAACCTTAAATAGGACAAAATAATCCAGACATTAATAACTTGACAGCTTGAAATAATATCAGTGTAACCAGACAGAAATCTTAAACTCCTACCCAGGCTTAACTGACTTTACATTTTGTTCCACAAAAATACAATCACTCCTTTCATTCGAAAAGTAAACAAAACCCCCTTAAATATAGCCTTTTCTCTTAACACCTCAGACTTAACATATAAATAGAGTAATTTGATGTTTACGTATGTTATTCTTAAGATTACTTGAGAATGAAACCGAACTACGAATTTTAAGTTTAACCTTTAAAGTTAATTTTTAGTATTTAAGTTTAGGTTTCGATAAGTAATTTCTATGTCGCGATGAAGACATGTTTTTAAAAAATAATAATGTGTTAATATGTTAATATATTATATATATATATATATATATATATATATATATATATATATATATATAAGAAACATACAGTATATCTTACATTAATATAGTTGTCATATTAAATATATTTTTTACTTAACATTGTGCAGTGTATCGTTAGTATACCTAACTATATTTTTCCCATTCGCTCATTATATATATATATATATATATATATATATATACCTAATGGTTAAATATAGTTAAATATATACTGTATATATATATATATATATATATATATATATATATATATATATATATATATATATATATTAAACAGAACCAAACTGTTGGTTCTTTAATACATATATATATAAGTGTGTGTGTGTGTGTGTGTGTGTGTGTGTGTGTGTGTGTGTACGTATTAAAGAAAAACCACAACCGTTGGTGAGACTAATGGATAACTTGCCAAATATCTTTAATTCCTTTAAACAATGTAAAATCTCGAACTACGGCATCAAAGAAAGTAGGAAAAAAGCTTTAAATGCAATCACCTACCTACTCAGTAAAATAATGTCCCCGATGCCATGATTACGTAGTCAGGTCAAAAGCCGTTGACGATGTTAATTCCAATGAGAGTATAGACGTAGTCGTAACCCGATCTTCAGCAAATGGGAGCAGGAGTTCAATTTATTTAACCGATATATTGAGAAAAAGAAAGAGAGGTAAAAGAATTATATATTGTTAACTAATTCTCTTTTATTATATTAATAGTCCATTTCTGCATAGAGATACACATGTCTTCTCTACATTGATCAAACGATTACAGCACTATAACGTCGACAAACATACTTCCTATCAGATGGTTACACTATAATAACAAACACTTTTTAACCAACACTGAAAGGAAATGAAAATCTTACTAAAGTGTAGGTACTATACCTCATTAACTGTTAACAAGATTACAAATATTAGAAACAATAATTATAAAATCAAATACACAACAATAGTAAAAATTTAATTCAATACATAAAACAGTATTTTATCAGTCAAGAATAGTATTTTAAATATCTTCCAATAAATTCATCATAGAATAAACATTCTCTTTGAATTATTCGAATATTTAATAAAAATTCAGACTCGAACTATGACATAATATAGCAAAAGTTCAAATTGAAAATATAAATACAAAAACAAAATAAGTCATACCCCTATAGAAAACTCATTTATACCATGAATTAGATCAAAAGAGTTGACATTATTTGGTGAAATAATATTAGAAAAGACTTATAAAATCTTGCAATAAATAACTATCAATTAATTCACAGAAAATAAAATAAAACATTAAATTTTATAAGAAACATTTACATTGTTTACAATCTCTCCCTCTATCTTTCTTTCTCCCACTCTCTCCTTCTATATCTCTCCTTCACTTTTTTTCACACATCAATATGGCTAACGCGGTATTTGAAGCCAGGCTGAGAGTATATACACAAAAGTATAAAGAATATAACCATATGCCAGGATGTGGAAAAGGCTTCAAATCTCCTGTGCTTTCATAGGTATCGACAGGATGAAAATCAGATACAGAAAATAAAAAAAGAAATCACAGAGACACGGAAATTGACAATTTCTTGGAAGACGTTTTCGTTTTTACGGTCATAAACGATCTGAACTTTTCTGTCAGAAAAATGTAATCGATGGTCAGGCAAAAGAAGCATTATATGTGACCAAAAAACTCTGTAAAAGGACAGATGATATCATCCATAAATCTGAAGAAATCGTTAATCTCAGACCCGACCAGTTATGGAAGGCTATAGCCTACAGCTCAAGTGGTGCCCGAAGCCATATGTAAGCCAAATATGATAAGATATTCGATAGATACACTTGCTGAACATTGTCCGTGCTTATACTAATGACCAGGCCGATTTCGTTTAACTGAGATTCGAAGCGTGATGATAAGTAACTGGTAGATGTTACAACTATTCTTCTTCCAAAAAGGTTCACATTACTTAAAATATCCTGCCCGATAATTTTAATGATCGTCTCCCCATCCTTGCGCTCTTGATTTCAATCGATTAGACTATTATACTTAGTAGGACAGGGTTCAGCTGCCCGACGGTATCACGAACACTTTGGCCTGATGGTTAAAATGAACAAGAATCGCCTGAGTCGAAAATACTGTTGATTCTGTGCTTCGTGAAACCATCTTCATGACAATTTTCTAAAATTATGAATTTTCTTTTAAGATGAACAGAGCTATAATTTTTTAATATACTAATTTGATATTAATAATTAAATTTAGTTTTTTTCATTTGCCTGATTCAACCTGTATCGATATATGCATGAGCATGAATTTGTGGATTTGAGTACATGGTGATTTTATAAGCTTAGATGTGGCACAAAGCCGAAAGTATGAGGCACCTAGTGAGGATCAAGCTCACTGCTAACTCTTAATTACTCTAGCGAGCCAAGCTTGATAGCCATTGCACCACGTCGAGGTGGCCTGCACGTGCGGGTTTTCTGGGCGAGTGCTGATAGAATAAACCACGTTTGTGGGGCCCTTATTATGAATATAACTAACAAAATTTAGCAATTCGGCGGTGGGTAAAATCAGGAGAGTTTTGCAGATGAATATTTAATGAATTCCATATTTACTGCATACTCCCCATTTCTGCCAACCTATTGTAAATTTAGTAAATACCTATAAACATAAAAAAAGAAGTTTAGAAACACATAAATAAGCTTATAAAAATCAAAGGTTCCTGATGTGCTCATTTTCTTTAATTGGAGCTCTTTTTGCAGTCATTCATTTCAATCTATGTACGCGCGGTTTGGAAGACTATGCGAATGGCTCTTAAAATAAGAACTCCTCTTCTTTTTATTGTAATTTTGCCAATGCCTCGAGATGTTTACAAAGTAACAATGAATGTTTTGATTCAATTCCATATCCAAATTTCCCCAGTTTAGAAACAACTTCTGATGTCTATTCCTTGCCAAGCTGTGATTGCAAAGTCATATTTCATCAACGAGTGTCGTTTAGCGGAGAGTCGTATATCTTTCTTTGCATTCTCGAATTTAAAAAGTGAATTTTTGCTAAAATATAAAACAAAAAGTGAAAATTTATATATATGGTCACGCACCTAACTTCGCATACATAAGAAAATCAAATATTCCATTTTTTTGAGGTATCACAGTTTCATTTCATGCGAAGCTACCATAAGAAAAAAACTTGAACTCTAATGCATCACTTGTGAATTCTTTTGATTTTGTTAGTATTCTTTGTTTATTTTAATTTAATAGTTTCAAAATCTGAATTCTTTTCGATTATAAAATAATATGCGATAATAGATTTAATTGTACTGAGCGGATGGATATTACACTGAACTAAATAAATGCTCGGATACATACATACATACATACATACATACAGGCATTCACACACACACACACACACACACACACACATATATATATATATATATATATATATATATATATATATATATATATATATATATATATATATATATATATATATATATATATATATATATATATATATATACATTTTACATAAACATGCACACGCATACATACATACATATATATATATATTTTTTTATATGAAAATATATAGAAAATAGGAAGGAACTGGTTAGGTAAATAATCCAAAGTTCCTTAGTATTTTAGTTATTATTTTTAAAAAATAGTGCTCGATACAAAAGTAGAGCATAAATATAATTGTTTATTTAAAAATATGATTCCAACTCGCGACATAAGAGGTCTCATGTTTCAAAATAAGAGCTGAAAAATTCAATATAATTATTTGAATTAAATTGAGTTAAAGTAAGCTCTGTTCCATCATCAAGCGAAATTTTGTTTTTTTTGGAATAACGTATTTCTGAAATTTACGTCTTTTAATAATTGAAATCAAAATTTCCATGGTAAAAGCTAGGGCGAATTGTTTAAATTGGGTAGGCGTGTGTTGGGTGTTAATAGTAAGTATCAGTATAGTGTAACTTTCATAGATGTCAAGTCAGGGAAAGGTGGGGGTGTCTAAATTTGGAACGGAAGAAGTATAACTCTAGTCTGGTTTGCGTGTCTATGGAGGTTTATTTTTTTTTTTTTATTTTTTTTATGAAAGGGATTTGTGCATATAAAACAAAATTGTCGTAACGTTTGTTTTTTGACGACTTCATAAAGGGTTATCTTTTTTGTAGGGTATTTAAACTATTTATTTGGGCCATGGATTATAAAAGTTAATATATTGTATGCTTGTTGTTAGCTAATTATTCAAACCATGAATCTGATGATGTCCACAAAAAACCGTTTTCTCATGTCTATTGTTTAATAGATTATTATTATTTAGAAGCTTAATAATGTGCAATTTCTCATGGAGGCACAAAGGACATGGGTCATCCTAAGTTTTACATGTTCTAGCCCTGTTTATAATTTTCCATTTAACTTTAGGTGTTCTATTTGTTTCCTTTAGATGCCAAAAATATTTAGATAGGGAAGTTTGATTTCTTTTAGCTATATTATTGAAAGAGCACTTATGCTGCCTCCATCTATCTTTAAAATTATTCTTCGTGGACCCAATGGATATCATATTATATTTTATATAGTCCTAGCACTAATATGATATACATTGGGTCCACGAATGATAATTTTAAAGAACTCTCTCTCACTCACTCCCTCTCTCTCTCTCTCTCTCTCTCTCTATATATATATATATATATATATATATATATATATGTACTTTATTTTAAGATATTACATCAAAAACGTAAAAATGCTACACATATTCAATCATGTTTCGATGTGTATTAGCACATCTCATCAGGCAATAGTAAATGACTGATGAGTAGTTAATTTCTTGAGATATAAAAACAACATACCAACTTTTACATGAAAAAAGGAAGAAAAGAAGAAGATTAAGAAAGAAAGGCACCGATAATCTCAAGAAAATTATAAAGTTGCATAACAATTGAACTCTAAACCAATTTAATAATCTTAATCATAATACAAGTACCAATGAAAATATTGTTAAGTATAGTGACCAATGTAACTGTAGGAATCCTGATCAATGCCCATTGTCAAACAAATCTTTAACCGAATCTTCGTGTTTCTTTGTTCGATCTCTACAAAGAAAAATCCGAGGGTTGAAAAGTTCTAGATTGTTAATACTAAGAATTCTTTCCAAACCCGGTGGTATCAACACATATCGCCTTTTACTAATAATACTCATAGAAATAATACTTCACTTTTAAAATATTTTTGGACGATGAAAGATGAAAATAAATCACCTAAAGTTAAATGAAAGGTTTTAACACTGGCAAGGACATGTTCATCTTTATATGAACCGTGTTTTCTGTGTTTACAAGAAAAATGCAAATTATCAGTTGCGTTATTAAATCAAAAATTTGAGTTAACGGTTAATTGTAAACATATACATTTGACTCTAAGATCTTGCTAGAATTTGAAATTTGACAACTGCTTCTTATATTTTACTTAGAGCTTGTTGAACCATATAAAGCTTATCTTTCTGTCAGTAAGATCAATTTCAACGTAGTATAATTTTTACATTAATCTTCTTGTAGTGCTGATAATATTTAGTTTAGATGTATTGGGTTCGGCTGACATTATGATATTTTGCATTAATTGGTTTTATCAACAACTTATATAAAGACCCTTAATTAACAGTTGCATTCTATTTTTGTATGGTCTATATATTTAAATAATTTTGTTACATCTATATGTTTAAATAATATCGTTTGATCTATATGTTTAAATAATTTCTTTGATCTATATGTATAAAAAATTTTATTAGATCAATATGTTTTAATAATTTTGCTAGATTTATTTGTTTAAACTTTCCTTTTATTTCTTAAAGAGCTGGAAAATTTACCAACTATAAAGATGTTACATTTTAATTTCTTAACTAACAGGGTATGGAATTTGTCGAGTATATTGTTAAATTACGTTTCTCCTCCCATGGGAGATGACACTTAACTTTGTAACCAATTTATATCTGTAGCGAATATAACGTTTAGATGGCGTCTACGATTCAAAATCTGTGGGTCATGACCTCCTACATATGATTCCTTTTTTCGGTTTTTCCCCTTACTTTGAACTTTGCGTAGACCATTCTGATTGGTTGATCTGAAAAGAAAACCTGCTACTATCCCTTCACTTCACTTTCTCATTCTTTATCTTATTCTTTTTTTCTCAAGAAAATAGCGTCTATTTTGTGTCTTACTTTCTTACTCTTTTTTTCTTTTCCTCATGTTTGCATTCGTGTAGCGTTTTTACATGTTTTTGATGTAATATCCTAAAATAAAGAATACTGTTCTACTTTTGTATTGAGCCCTCTTTTACACTGAATGCTACGAACATCGCAATTGGATTCTATTCGTTTAAATACACAGCTAAAACAAAATTCATGTTTCCAAGGTTACAGATAAATCTATTTTTCTAGACAGGGGTGTCTAGGTGTTCAATATGTCTATATTAAAACCCAGTAATTTTAAAAGTTACTCCAAAATTCGCTTGAGGATGAAATGGAACTAATGTCTTTAATTAAATTCGGGGCTTTTAGCTTCCATTTCTGAAACATGGTTAGAACTGTGTAGCGGAAACACCATATTTTAAATCAATTAATTTATAATATTAATGCTCTGTAAATTTACATCGAGCACTATTTTGTAAAAATAAAAATATCTATAAGAACACCGGATTATATATCTTACTGTTCTTTCGTTTTATTTATATACATATATATATATGAAGATATTTTATAAGTAAAATGCCGTTATTTTCCAATAAATTAAGAAAATAATTCTTATGAGTCAGCCAATAAATATATCTGCTTTCTGGGAAATGTGTTTATGTTAAT